CGAAGGTCCGGACCCCCCCAGCCCCCGCGGTGGCCGCGCAGGCCTGTCCGAGTGCTTCCAGGTGAACGGCGCCGACTACCGCGGCCACCAGAACCGCACGGGGCCGCGCGGGGCTGGCCGCGCGTGCCTCTTCTGGGACCAGACGCAGCAGCACAGCTACAGCAGCGCCAGCGACCCCCAAGGCCGCTGGGGGCTGGGCCCGCACAACTTCTGCCGGTGAGCGGCCGGGCCTGCGCTGCGGGCGGGACTGGGCGCAGGCGTGGGCCGCGGGCAGGGCCTGGGTGCGGGTGGGACGCAGGTCTCGGCCGTGCGGGCGCAAGGGCCACCCCGAGGGTCTGGGAGCCGAACCTAGGCGAGGGACCGGGCCTAGCCCGTTCTGGGGGCGGGCTGGCCGCTCGGAACATTTTGGGGCTCCGGACCCGCCTTAGGTCCCCAAACTCTGCAGAGCCTCAGGCCAGGCCTGGGCATTGAAGGAGCCTGTACCCGCCGGACCCAGTCAGAGGGCGAGCTCTCGAGTGGGGGGGGGGGGCGGCCCCTGCCGTACAACTTCTTTGAGGGGCTCTACTCTTGGCAACGGAGGGATTGGGGATTCAGAGCCACAACTACTGTCAGAAGCCGCCGGGAGCAAGCAGAGCCAGAGGCACCACAAAGCTCAGGACCACCATTTTTGCTTTAAAGCAAGGTCCCAAGGGGGCACCTGGGTGGCTCAGTTGGTTAAGTGTCGACTTCGGCTCAGGTCATGATCTCAGGGTTCGTGGGTTCAAGCCCCACATCAGGCTCTGTGCTGACAGCTAGATCTGGAGCCTGTTTCAGATTCTGTGTCTCCCTCTCTCTCTGACCCTCCCCTGCTCACGCTCTCTCTCTGAAATAAATAAAACATTAAAAAAAATTTTTTTTAAAGATAAAGCAAGGTTCCAAGGCAAGGGAGGTGGCAGTGGCCCAAGGCGGGGTTGGGCCTCACCAACACTGAGGGGGCTTCAAAGTCCTCATGTATAAAGTCATGTCTAGCAACATCTGAAGCCCAGAATACGCCCTCAGTCCCCCTTTTAAAGAATAGTTTGTTTGTTTGTTTATTTATTTAAAGAGAGAGAAGAGAGAGCAGGGGAGGGGAAGAGAGAGAGGGAGCCAGAATCCTAAGCAAGGTCCTGGTGACAGCACAGAGTCCCACTTGGGGCTTGAACTCACAAACTGTAAGATCAGGACCTGAGCTGAAACCAAGGGTGGGTCCCTTAACCGACTGAGCCGGCTGGGTGCCCCTTAAGGGCTTTGCACCAGCCCCTCTGGATTTGACATCCACAAACAGGTGGGACAAACGAGAATTTGTGCGACAATGGAGAGGAACACACAAACCAGATGTAACACGCTCGGTGGCTGTTTTGCGGATAGGCTGTGGGGTGGGGCCTGGGGCCTGCAGCGCTTGTGGGGGTTCAGACCACTTCACCCCCACCGGCAGGAACCCCGACGGTGACGTGCAACCGTGGTGCTATGTAGCCGAGACAGAGGAGGGCATCTACTGGCGCTACTGCGACATCCCCACGTGTCACAGTGAGTGGGCCGGGCTTGGACAAGGGTGGGGACGCTGGGCTGCCCGGGTACAGTTCTCTTTTGGCGGCACTGGACAAAGCCGGACTCTGCTGCTCCCTCAGTGCCTGGGTATCTGGGCTGCTTCATGGATTCGGGGGCACCCCCGGCTCTCAGCGGCCCCAGCGGGACCTCAACGAAGCTCACGGTCCAGGTGTGCCTTCGCTTCTGCCGCATGAAGGGCTACCAGGTACTGCCCCCTCCCACCTCTGGCTCAAAACAGTGACCCCTGACCTCGGGTGACAGTTGACCCAAATCAACTCCCACTCTGACACCAAACCCTGATGCTGATAATGCAACCTACTACCCGATTCCCACTTAGGACCCTGACCCTAGACCCCACCCCTTCCCCAACCACTGCCTCCTGGGTCACCCAGTCTGTGCCCCCAGCTGGCGGGCGTGGAGGCTGGCTATGCCTGCTTCTGTGGCTCTGAAAGCGACCTGGATCGGGGACGCCCGGCCCCAGCTACCGACTGCGACCAGATTTGCTTCGGCCACCCGGGCCAGCTGTGCGGCGGCGATGGGCGTCTGGGCATCTACGAAGGTGAGGAGTGGGCGGGGAAGAGGGGACTGGGTGGTGAGGGGAGGAGGTCTGGGTGGGACAGGGGGTGCCACGCCCCTGTGGGGGCGGAATCTGGGAGCGGGAGGCCGTACCCTGGGGGCGGGGCCCGAGAAGGGGATTGGGTGGAGAGCGGGGGCCGAAGCCGGCGTCGTGGGCGGGGCCTGGAGTTGAGGGCGGGACTTGGGAGAGGATTCGCAGTTCGCGGAGGGAGTAGGACCGGGCTCGAGGAGGCGGCGGCGAAGGCGGGGGGCGTGGCTCGGCGGGGAGGGGAGGAGCCTCGGCGTGAAGCCCCGCCCCGTGAAGGAAGAGCCCGCCGGCCTCCGGGTTCTGACCACCAGCCCCGCCCGCAGTGTCGGTGGGCTCCTGCCAGGGGAACTGGACCGCACCTCAGGGCGTCATCTACTCCCCGGACTTCCCAGACGAGTACGGGCCGGACCGGAACTGCAGCTGGGCGCTGAGCCCGCCGGGCGCCGCGCTGGAGCTCACCTTCCGCCTCTTCGAGCTGGCCGACCCGCGCGACCGGCTGGAGCTGCGCGACGCCGCCTCGGGCAGCCTGCTCCGCGCCTTCGACGGCGCCCGCCCGCCGCCGCCCGGGCCCCTGCGCTTGCGCGCCGCCGCGCTGCTGCTCACCTTTCGCAGCGACGCGCGCGGCCACGCGCAGGGCTTCGCGCTCACCTACCGCGGTGAGAGCCCGCCTCGTCGCCCTCCGCCCTCCGCCCCGCCACCCTGCCTCACACCTCTCTCCGCAGGGCTGCAGGACGCTGCTGAAGACCGGACGCCCCAGGGCTCGGCCCCGACCCCCGCAGCACCCCCTGACTGGGCCAACGTGAGCTGCAGCCCCCGGCCTGGGGCTCCGGAGGCCGCGATGGGGGGTGAGGAGGGCATGCGAGGCGGGCAGGAGTTTGGGGAGCAGCCCCTTCCGAATCCTGCCTCACAGCACCGTGTGCCCGCAGCCCGGGTCTTCTCGACCGTGACGGCCGTCTCGGTGCTGCTGCTGCTGCTGCTGCTGTCGCTGCTGCGCCTGCTGCGCCGACGGTGCGCCCGCTGGGGCGGGGCCTGAGGGCGGACGCAGCTGGGCGCCTGACGCCTCGGTGCCCAGGGGCCCTGGTGGGAAGCTGGGGCTTCCAAGGGGATCGGGGCTGGGAGGAAGTCCTGGGTTCTTGAGGGACAAGGGCTTGCGTCCACACAGGGAATCGCGCGTGGGATCGCAGGTGAAGGAGGACACTGGAGGTAAGATGGGTTGGGGGTTCAGCTGACGTCTGCTCCCTCTCTAGGAGCTGTCTGCTGGCTCCGGGAAAAGGGCCCCCGACGTTGGGGCCTTCCCGGGGCCCCGGGAGAAGCTGGGCTGTGTGGTACCGCCGGCCTCGAGGGGTGGCCCTGCCCTGTACCCCTGGGGACCCTCAGGCTGAGGGTCTAGCCTCGAGTTACCGGCCCCTGAGCGCCTCCAGCCAGAGTTCCCTGCGCTCGCTCATCTCTGCTCTCTGACTCGGGATCCCCAGGGTCCACTGGACCCTCTGCCAGCGGAATGGACACCTCAGACTCCATGCCGCACTCTACGTTGACCTTCCGCCCCTTTAAGGGCAGCTCGGTCTCTGATCATCTCTTGGAGGCCAGACATTGGACAGGAAGCATCTGGTGCTATTACTGAGAACTTGGTCTGACCCTCAAGGTTCCAGATGGTTGGGGCCAAAGGTCAAGAGGAATCCAGCTCCCCTCCCTCATAAACCTTAATACGGGGGTCTCTGATTTCACGTTGCTTTTAGAACCTCTTGGGGTGGTTCTGAACTGCTGCCCTAAGTGAAATGTGAGAGGTCAAGAAAAGTAGTCAAAAGACCAGCCATAGACTCTGAATAAAGGACCTATTTTGGTACAGGGCTCTCTGCAAGTTCTTGCGTGAGAGAGGAGTTATGTTAATGAGGGTATTGGAGCCAAGGTTGGGTGTATCCATGCAAATTTAGGTCGGTCCAAGACTGGAGTGATTTGGAGCTGCCGGGAAAGTTTAGGACTGAGGAACTCCGGAGGCGGAAGGATGTGTGGGCGGGTTCCTGGGGAAGGGGAGGTGGAGGAGGTGGAGGAAGCCGGTTGTGGGCGGGGTTAAGCCCGAGAAGGGATGCCTTCCAGGACCGCCTTAGAATGAACTCCGGCAGGGATGGACCTTTCCCCCGTGACCTCCTGCTGTCTCTTCCCCTCCGTTTCCTGTCTTTTCGGGTGGAACCGAAGGTGCCCTCCAGTGGGCGGTAGCAGGAAGCGAGTTTGACGGAGCCCAGGCTACAAGAAACCTGGGCTGACGGGCAGGTCATCGCCCGAGGGCGCTGAGCGCATCAGACACACGTGTAGAGGCCTGGGCATCTCTGTGGGGCTTGCTGCGCTCTGGTTGAGTCGGGCCGGCGGAGATCACCCTCACTGAGGTGGGGACGCGCCGGCTCTAGACCTGACTGGTCCGAAGGTCCCGGGCCGCCAGCACCTTGGACAGAGCCCGGGTGAGGGGTGGGGCTGGGTGGTGACGAGGATAAATGGCCAAGGGTGCGTCGACCTAGGGGGTCGCGCGGAAAGTCCAGGCGCGTACAGCAGACTCTAGGCGTAGGCGCCGGGGTCACTGCAGCAGAGGCACTGGGGACCCAGAACGTCGGATCCCAAGCCCCCAGCTACCCCATGCAAATGAGACTGGGAGCGCATAAATTATGCTAATTAGGCGAAAGTCTGGGCGGGCGTGGGCAGGGCCTCCCAGCCAGCCTCGCCTATTGGACCCCGCAGCGTCGACGTCACGAGGACCGCGCGCGAAACGCTGGCGGGACGGCGGGGGCGAGCTGCTGGGGCGGAGCCTGGCGTCCCCACCAGCGTCCGGCCGCGCCCGTCCTCCCGGCTGCGAAGGGACGACTGGCCTCTGCCGCCTCCGCGAGCTGTTCCTGCGGCGCGCCTTCCCCGGAGGAACCGGTCGCGCTGTGCTCGGGCGCCCAGCACAGCCCCAGCCCCCGCCCCGGCGTGGGGGCGCTGGGCCCGCGCGTGCGCAGCGCCTGAGGGGCGCGGGCCGGGACCCCCGCCCGGCGCGTGCGCGGACGCAGCACTGGGCGGCGGGCGCGCGCCGGGATGAGTCTCCGAGCGCAGTAGCAGCACTGAGAAGATCGGGGGCCAAGAGGAGCGCGCGCCGCCCGCGCCGGGCCGGGCCATGGCGTTCCTGGCCGGGCCGCGCCTGCTGGATTGGGCCAGCTCACCGCCGCACCTGCAGTTCAACAAGTTCGTGCTGACTGGCTACCGGCCGGCCAGCAGCGGCTCCGGCTGTCTACGCAGCCTCTTCTACCTGCACAACGAGCTGGGCAACATCTACACGCACGGTGAGCCGCGCCCCGCATCCCACACCCGCGGCAGCCCTGCCTGCGCCGGGCCGGGGGCCGGAAGGCCGAGGAGCGCCCCAATTATCAGGTCCTGAGCTGCCTGGGCCCTGGCACGGCCAGGAGTCGTGGTGACAAAGCTGCCATTGTCCCAGACTGAACTGTCCTTCCGCTCCCGGGCGGGGCCCCCGGGCAGGGAAGGAAGCAGAGTAGGGGACCAAGTCCGCTTAATCCCTCTGAGCCCCAGGGAGGAGCCTGGTGTCCGACTCCCTTCATAATCCCTGCGTCTGGGGCACCCTCTCCCGCCAGCACTGGTCCAGGAGATGGGTGCTGACTTCCGATTAGGAGAGGCCCAGGAAGAGAAACCAGGCCCTGGCCCCTCCCGGTGCGGCTGCCCTGCCACCCTCGCCCCAGCAGCCCAGCCGCGGGGCTCCGCCTGGTGGCGGCTCCTTCCTCCCCACCATAGGCGCCGGGCCCCTCCTCCGCGGCCCTGCTCTGCTGACACAGCCTTGCCCGTCCTTGGGCTGCCCTGGCCAGGAGAGGGGCCCGGAAAAGGCTGAGCCCAACCTGGGCACCTGCCTCACGGAGGGACTCTGGCCTGGCCAGACCTTGCTGAGTGTGCACCCAGTAGCCCCCATCCACTGTGCCCGTCTTTGACCCTGTGAGGGCAATGCCAGAGTGCTGGGGGAAGGGGGTAGGAATCGCCCTGGTTAGGGCTGAGAGGAATGGGGTGCAGGAAGCGCTGCCTGGGGAGGTAGAACAAGCTCCTTTCAGCCCCTCTCCCCTGCTTGGCTTTCCTCCTTTCTGGAAGACCAGGAGCCCCAAAGCCTCTTTGTCTGGTGACTTACAGAGAAGACACAGGGGGTGAGAGAAGCTAAGTGGCCCCGGGATCTGGTATCATTGTCCACATGTCCTGTTCAGAATTCTGCTTGCGGTCATGCCTCCTTCTGGGTTCTGCCAACACACCGAGTTTAGGGGATTGGGACCCCCTGGCTTTCTGGGGAGGTAATGTGGATGCAGGGGTGAGAGCAGCTTGGGAATTAAGTGCCCAGGTCCTATTCTGCTTCCATCGCTTGCTCCCCGGGGTCACGGGCGGCAGTTGCTCCGTTTCTTCACCTGGAAGTGTGGAACGGCTTATGGTCTCTACTTCCCCAGAGTCTAGGGAGCTCTGCTAAGTCACTGAAGTTACTGAAGGCGCAGGGCCTGCCTCAGTCCGATAGCGTGCTAACGGCCATTGTCAAGATCTATCTTGCCTCATCCCTCTTGTGTTATCTGTAGACTGCAGACTCCCTGAGGACATGACTTGTTCTCTGCCCGAAGCTGTGTGATGGATAATAGTTTCCCTCCCCCAGGGCTGGCCCTCCTAGGCTTCCTGGTGCTGCTGCCGATGACCATGCCTTGGGGTCAGCTGGGCAAGGATGGCTGGCTGTGGGGCACACACTGTGTGGCCTGCCTGGCCCCTCCCACAGGCTCTGTGCTCTACCATCTCTTCATGTGCCACCAAGGGGGCAGCCCTGTGTATACTCGGCTCCTTGCCCTGGATATGTGTGGGGTCTGCCTTGTCAACACCCTAGGTGAGCTAATGGATGGGGTGGGCAGGCTTGAAGGACGGGAGTTGGGGGCGGGGGCAGCCGGGGAGGCGGCGGCAGGGGACACTCTCACGAGCCCTGGGTAGAAAGGGCAGGCAGTCCCCCAGACTGATGTGCCTTCTGCTACGTCTCTCCTCTGTACAGGGGCTCTGCCCATCATCCACTGCACCCTGGCCTGTAGGCCCTGGCTGCGCCCAGCCGCCCTGGTGGGCTACACTGTGCTATCAGGCGTGGCTGGCTGGCGGGCCCTCACCGCTCCCTCCACCAGTGCCCGGCTCCGCGCCTTTGGTTGGCAGGCTGCTGCCCGCCTCCTGGTGTTTGGGGCCCGAGGAGTGGGGCTGGGCTCTGGGGCTCCGGGCTCCCTGCCCTGCTACCTGCGTATGGACGCGCTGGCACTGCTCGGGGGACTGGTGAACGTGGCCCGGCTGCCAGAGCGCTGGGGACCCGGCCGCTTCGATTACTGGGGCAACTCGCACCAGATCATGCACCTGCTCAGCGTGGGCTCCATCCTCCAGCTGCATGCCGGTGTCGTGCCTGACCTGCTCTGGGCCTCCCGCCACGCCTGCCCCCCCGACTGAGCCACCTCCCGCCCGCCACGCCGGCCTCTCTACAGTCTTCTAGGACCAACAGTGCCCTGCTCCGCTCCTGCTGCCGGTGTCCAAGGGCTGCTTCCTGGGCACTTCCCACCAACAGGACTCGGCATCTGTTTGTCCATTCTTCCCTGTGGACAGGACCAGCCTCTTCGATCCACACCTCGGAGCTCCACCTCCCATCCTTGCCTTCTTTTGGGGTACTGTCTGTGTAGGCTAGAAGGAAACCTTTCCTTCCTGGGCCTCAGTTTATCTTCTGTGACCTTGGAGGGTATGGCCAGAGGGTTCTGGGGTCATGTCTTGCTATGACAGAATTCTACCGGCCCAGAGCTGTCACCCCACCCTGCCCCACACATAAGGTACCCCATGGGTGCCTTGCCCAGCCTTCAGCCCTATTTCCTGACCTCTGCATGCCAGCCCTCCCAGCTGCCTGAGGCTCACCCTCCCCTTCAACTTTCTGTCCAGAGACCGTGGACTGAGGGGTTTGGTCAACAGGACCAGCCTCTTATCCCAGGACCAAGGGACAGGAGGGGGCTGCAGCTGCTGTTTCCAAGCAGCTGGCACAGAGACTCGAAGACCTGAGTGGGCTGAGGGCCCACCCTCCACCCTGAGTGCTATGCACTGATGGCTCAACCAACATACTGGGGACGTGCCTGCTCAGGAAGTCTCTGCAAAGCGCATGCTCCTAGCCCCAGTGTGCTGGCCTGGGGCCCTGCATCAGGGCTCAGCCACTGCCCATCACAGGGCCACAGACCCTGTGCGACATCAATAAATGGGGCAGGAAGAGCTGTTACCACACACGCAAGCTTGGGTGTTCCCAAGATTCAAATACCTTTTATTAGACATGGCTATAGGCAGAAGGAACCCCTGGAGTTCCCAGAGGGACCCCAGCCTCCAGGCAGATTGGGGAGGGAGCAGTGGCTAAAAGGTTAAAAGCACCAAGGCTGGCCTATGGACTCACGTTGGGCCCAGTGAGTCCTCAAACAGGCTGAGGAGGTTCCGAGGTTCAAAGGAGGGGAAGGAGCCCTGAGGGGGCTCAGAGTCAATGTCACTTAGGTCCAGGGCATCCCTGGGGTGGGGGGAAGAGAGACAAATGACACTCAGGATCCGAAAGCCACCACCTCCCCCTTCCCCGTGACTCTGGGCCTGCTCACCTCAGTGTGTGCCTGCGCCGGGGGGCAGGGGAGCTGCTGCAGGGGGTGGAGGTGTTCCCGATAGCCCTGGCCAGGACGGCCTCTGGAGAGAGCGGGGGCCTGCACGGGGCGGGCCAGACAAGAAAGGTGTCGGGGGTGGGGAGTGCATGGGGGGGGGGCCACAGCAAGACCAGCCCTTTCCCTGTGCAGACCCCAGGCCCCTGCCTGACAAGGGCATGGGCCCCAGGCAGAAGCAGTGAAAGCGCGGTGCCCTTTGAAAGAAGCACTTTCACAACTTTTAAAGGCCATCTGACCACACTCAGAAGCCACCTCTGTTCCTTTTCAGAACATGTGGGTTTTGACAGCTGGCTTGGAAGTGAACTTGTGACAAATGAAGCCTTTCTGGTACCTCATGTCTGATATAAAGTGTCCCCATGGCGATGGGGTGATATTTCCTTAAAAAGGGGTTAATGGTGTGATTCCTCCTGAGGACTGTGCCCCCAAGCACTTTCTTAATTACAGCCTCTCACTTGGCCACCAGGTATCTAGGACCAAGGAGTTTCCTGGGCCGAGCTCACCAGGCTCTGGGGACTCTGTTTCCTGGGAGGATGGACAGCGCCTCACCTGCGGGGACCGCAGCCCTACCATGGCGGCCACCGTGGGCCTCACGCTGCTCCCTCGTGTGGCAGCGCCGCAAGCGTGAGGCTGCCGGTTCTACTCTGCTCTGCACGTTCCCTGCACTGAGCCTGGAGGAGACCGCTGTGTCCCAATGGGGCCAGGCTGCACCCCCACTGGCCTTGGCGCCCTTCCCATGGTAGGACGGCGGCGGGGGGGGGGTTGGGGGAGGGGTCCTGCTCGCCGCGAATCCCCACAGGCTGCAGCCTGGCCCTGCTGACTGCCCCTGCCCCCTGACCCCCTGCCCCCGGCGTCGGCAGCTCTCACCCACCCTATGCTGTCATCCTCCCAGTTGCTGGAGAGGCTGCTGTCCAGGAGGAGGCTGCAGGGGGGCGAGCCGGGCGGGGTGGCCGGTGGGCTGGGGGGCTGCAGCCAGCTGGCCGGGTGAGCCAGCCCGCGCCACAGCCAGCACAGCAGGGCAAGCAGGGCCTGTGGGGACAGGGACAAGGGAGGCAGGTCAGGCCCTGGCGCTGGGGAGCAAGGCCGGGCACCCCGCCACCATCACCCAGCTTACCTGCCACAGGGCCCACCCTCGACCGAGGGCCTCGGCGGCCACGTACCACAGAATGCTCCAGGGCCGAGGCTGCCTGAGCACGGGCAAGGCCAGCAGGGACTCGGCGGTGGCCCGCAGCTTGGGGTCAGGTTCCAGCATCATGGCGAGGACAGAACGCAACTCAGAAGACAGGCCTGTCCACAGGGCACAGCCGTGTCAGGGGTGACTGAGCTCTGAGCGCTGGGGCCCCCGAAGTGAGCCTGCCCTCCCTGGCGCCGCATGTTCCTCCCCACCCTTGCCCTGCACTTACCAGCAGTGAACTCCGGGGGCACATAGCCCTGGCGCAGCTGCTGCCAGCCCTCCCCACCGTGGGGCAGCTCCATGTTGCATGCCACTTCCAGGATGGTGAGGCCCAGACTGGGAAGGATGGGGGCAGTGACAGAAGAGGGGCAGGCTTGGCCTTGGGGCACAGACCCCAGAGCTCCAGGCTGCCCACGAAGAGGCATGGCTCTTCTACCGTGAGCCCGGGAAGTGGGGACGGAGGGGCTGGGGGGCCTGAGAAGGCCCCAGCAGGACCAATGATGGGACCATGTTACAGCGCCCACACACCACCCGTTGAGTCCTCCTGGCACCTCTCAGCGGGCAGGCACTACGGTTACTAATGTTACTACCATCGCTCAGTTGGCAAGGCTGGACGTGGCTGTTAGAGGCAGAACAGGGGTTACTAGCACAGATGAGGGGACCCACTGCCTGGTCCGGCCCTAGCTTCCCCACTTGCTAACGACCTCACACAAGCCCTTCAGCCCCACTGTGTCCATTCCCTGTAAACGGAGTAGTTGTCTCTCCTGTGGGGGTGAGGTGAAGAAATGGGTGGATCCATGTAAAAGGGCTCCAGGGGGTGCTTAGAGCCTGACTCTGCAGAACCCTCAAGTACAGGACTGGCCTCCACCCCCTTGGGGCAGGATGTCCCAGCCCGAGGCCGAGTCTTCCTGACTTTGGGCTAGGGTGGCGTTTCCCTCCCTCTGCTGACTGCACAGCCCCCCTGCCAACCCCGCCAGAGCCTCCCGCATCCCCGCCCTCACCTGAACACGTCCGCCGCTGTCCCATAGGAGCCCTGCAGCAGCTCAGGGGCCATGTAGCGGGGGTCTCCCTCCTGGGCCTCACCAGTTCCGGAGGCACCCAGCTCTACCAGCAGCCCAAAGTCACCCAGCTTGCAGCGGCCACGGGGCCCCAGGAAGATGTTAGCAGGCTTGACATCAAGGTGGACCAGGCCTTGGCCGTGCAGGTGAGCCAGGGCAAGCAGGGTGTCCCGCAGGTAGCCCCAGACCTGGGCCTCGGGCAGGCCGGCGCCCCGGGCCTCGCAGTGCTGCTGCAGGCTGGGCCCACACAGCTCCGTCTGCAGGTACAGGATGCCGCCCTCCTCCCAGGCTCGCTCCAGCTGCACACAACGCGGGTGTGGCCCCACCTTCTCGTGGCCGCCAACCTCAGCCAGCTTGCGGGCCCGGTCCTTAGGGCCCCGGAAGGGCGACATAGAGCGCTTCACCGCATAGAGCCGGCCGTCTTCCTTAGAGCGCACCTGGAAGGGAGGCGGCACCCACAAGTGGGCCGAGAGGCCAATCTGGCAGACCCCGTTAGGACTGTCCACGCGTGGAAGGTGGAGCACGGCAGCTGCCCGGGAGCCCACGTGTGTAAAGCGAAGCTGGCTGCGCCACTCCGAGCTCTACGTGTTGACCCCACAGGGCCTCTGTGGCACATTGCTACACGAAAAAAGCTGGCCCCACAAGTGTGGCCAGTATGACCCGCTGTGCAGAATATAGAGAGTCTCTCCGTGTATGGCCAAGTCTGGAGATGTAGAGAAAAAGGTCAGAAAGGGAGGAGACCCACCTGAAGAGCACACTGGAAGAACCACGGTATTTGTACTTTTTAACCACAAAACTGTAGTACTTGTGTAAGGAAGATCACCATTTTAAAGGAAATATAAATGATTGGAAAATCTATTTTAAGGACAAATAAAAAGGTGGTATGAAGGGTGTAGCCTTAGCACCTGCTGGCCTGGGAGGTGATGGGGGGCGGGGTGGGCACCACACAGTGGGGGCTGTTTTGGGGGGGGGAAGGGGACAGCCAGGAGCCGCTGTAAGGCGGGCCAGGCTCCGCACAAGGGGGGAGAGTGCACCGAGGGGCTTGGAGGGGCTGAAGTAGGGGAAGGAGAAAGCAGCCAAATCAGCCAAGGAGAAGCAGGCTCTCAGAGGAGGAAAGGGGAGCGGGCTGCCCAGGACGCTGTCCCCTCCGGCCAGGAGAGGGAAACGGGAGTGGGGGTAGCAGGCCTGAGGAATGAAGACTCACCTTGAAGACCTCTCCATAAGAGCCGTGGCCCAGGCGGCCAAGCCTCTGGAAACTCTGTTGGAAGAAGGACTCCGGGCGGCTCGGGTCATACGAGGGGCTCTGAAGGGTCTCGGAGGCTTTGCCTTGGAATGTCACCCTCCGGGGCTGGAGCTGGTGCCAGCCTGGGGTCCGAGGAGGGAAGAGGCGGCTGATGGGGATGCTGCCCTTGGCAGGAGGCCGGGGTGGGAGGCTCCGACTGAGCCCTCCAGGCCTCTTTAGGGAGAAGCCAGGTTCTGCGTGGCGGAAATAGGCTGGGACTGGAACGGGGGTGCCACTCAGGGGTGGAGGGGTGCCCTCTGTGGGCACAGGCATGGCCAGCACAGGAGGCCCTGGGCTGCAGACGACAGAACAGTGTGTCTGCTCAAACAGCGCCTGGTCTTATGGCCCCAAAGAGACTTCGGAAGAGAGGTGTGTCCACTCTGCACACACGTTCTGCTTTAAACATGGAGGCCACGGGGACGAGCACCTGCAGGGAAAGCGAGACAAGTATACGTAGGCCTGCCCCCAGTCATCCGTACCTTGCAGGCCACAGAAGCATCAACCAAAATCCGCAAGGCCATGTCCTGGGGACTCCGCAGTCCAGCACAGGTTGGCTGGGAGGGGCCTGCAGCCAGAGAGCCCGCCTGTATATGCTGCCTCATCACAACCAGCAGTTTGGCCTTTAAGATACACACCCTCTTCCAAAAACGCAACATGGAAATATTAACGCGGGCCCACCATCCCTTATCTCAAATTCGAAAGTAAAACCAAAGGTCTGAAACCCAAGGTTCTCTCCTGCCTTCTTTCTCGCAGCTGTGGGGCCAGCACTCATTCAGTGGGGTTCCACCACCTCCAGCCGCGGGGGCCCAAGTTCCGGGTAAGCGCCGCCGAGCAATGCTGCAGCCCCTTCCCAGGGGGCAAAAGCCACATCTGGCAGGAGGGCTCGGGACACGGGGGCCCAGCCGCTCAAGCCCCAGGACGAGGTCCCTCACTGGGAAAAGCAACCAGAGAAGGCCGGAGGCTACTGTTCCCACCCTGAGGCAGCAGTGTCCCTCAGAGAGACAGGCGCCTCTGTCCCTGCCCTTAGCTCCAGAGCTCCAGCCCCGGGATTCAACCTACAGACAAGCAGGCAATAGAACAGAA